CCCCAAAACCCCAAAACCCCAAAACCCCAAAACCCCTTGAGAGACAATGCATATTGAATGAGTAAAATTATTGAAAATGTCTGAAGACTTCAGGACAAAAGCAGCTTCTCATGTTTTGAAACGAATCAAAAAGAGGGAATGTAGGTCTTACTGCCATCCGCAAGCCTCACTGATGTACTATAGGGTGTCTCAAAGGATCAGCATATTGTGTTAAGAGGTATGCCTCTTTTACCAAGATTTCTTGGTTAAAAGCTACCATGGTGGCAATCTTTAACCTACTTTATAGAGCAAGTCCTTTGCGGCTTAAGCCAATCAGGAAGTTACCGACCCTCAGTAAGTCATTTCGGAAAATTTTCTTAGAGCTTAACAATCAGGAGATCAGAGAACAAATTTTAGAAAAGAAGTTCAGGCAGCATAAAGCGTTAAATAAGGTATCGATAGATTAAGCTCATTGTTATCGGGGTAGATCAAACAGCTGGGTAATAATCTGAGCACCAAAAAGTCTGCCTCTGGCAAGATCTCTGATATTCTGCTTTCTCTGTAAGTGATGTCGGTTATTTCTAGCGGTCAGAAACCTATATATGCTAAGTACAAGAAACCGACCAGGTCATTGAACAAAAATATATTGAGGAACCAAACTAGTTTATCAATTAAGACTCTTGAGCATATCTCCTCGAAGTCGCCGATTAAGTGTCTGAGGGACCTTCACCGGGAGAAGCTCAGGGAGTATAAATCCAGGATATTAGGATCTAAGGAAATAGCCCATAACCTTTCTTATGAAGTTGAGGGTTCTACCAAGTCATCGTTTGGTTATAAATTACATGTGTATAACTCTTCATTCTCCGATATTGACAACCCTGTATTTGATACACCTGGGAATTCTGGTCAAGGCAAGCCTAAAAGGGCATTTGACAAGAAGTTCCTTAAATTACTTAAGAAGAAGAGCAAGAGCTTCGTAGCTAATGGAAACCGGAATGCCACTTTCACTAGGTGGACCCCGATGCTCATTAGAGGAGAATCTTCTTATGAATAATCAATAAATTTACTAGGGTTTCAACTTGTGTTGGTGAAATAGGGGTTTTGGGGTTTTGGGGTTTTGGGGTTTTGGGGTTTTGGGG